GGTAATGCCCAGACAGATGCTGCTACAAGGCTTACCTTCCCCATAATTGTGGGATCAGTACAGGAAGCTCAAAACTTGCATAGGTTGCATCACTTAAATGCTCAATCTCTCCGTTTGTTTTGTAAAATTTCACGAGAACAGGCTCGTGAAATAGTCAAAAAATGCCCCTCATGTGTTACAAGCCAACCTGTACCGCATTTGGGAGTCAATCCGCGTGGTCTTCTCCCTAATCAACTGTGGCAAATGGATGTCACACACTTCCCAAAATTTGGCAAACTAAAGTATCTCCATGTCTCTATAGACACCTATAGTGGCTTTGTCTTTGCCTCCCCCCACACAGGAGAAGCTGCTAAGGATGTTATCTCGCACCTTATCACAGCTCTTTCTGTACTGGGAAAACCTGTTAAGATTAAGACAGAAAATGGTCCTGCTTATGTCAGCACTAAGTTTAAACAATTTTGTGAGGCGCTCCATATTAACCACATTACAGGAATTCCCTACAATCCACAGGGACAGGGAATCATTGAAAGAGCCCATCAAACACTAAAAACTTGGCTCACTCGGCTTGAAGCCACTTCCTTGTCTTTTGCCTCTCCCCGCGACCGATTGAATCATGCGCTCTTTGTGCTAAACTTCCTGACCTTGGATAATAATAATCATTCAGCTGCGGACCGTCATTGGCACCCTTCCCCTGATACAGCTCCGCCTATGGTAATGTGGCAAGACCCCCTCACCAGTAGCTGGCACGGACCAGATCCAGTACTCATTTGGGGACGTGGCTCAGCCTGCATCCTGGACCAAAAACAATTGGCACCAAGATGGCTACCTGAAAGATTAATTAAACAAGTTAATCCACCAATTCCTACAAATAATGATGTTGTTCCAGAGCCTGTACTTGGCCCTGAGAACGCCTTTTCTTTATACCCACAGGAATGAAAAGACCCGGCTGGACGCTACTGGGACTCATTACAGGACTCCTTATTATTGCTGGAATTGTTGCCATTGTTGCTATTTGAGTATCTTATCTTCTCTCTATTCTCTCCTCCCCTGCTACATTTCCTGAGGGCTCACTGATTAACCCCTCCAAAGGGCCCTAATACAATGGCCCTCAGCCTTGCTCTCCTGATGATGGCAATCTACACCATCCATTGGGCTCCACCAGTCTTTGCAGGGCTTGACAACCCTCAGGGCATTCAAAAATACCTTCAACAGCATCACCCTTGTACCTGCTCAGGGGGCATAATAGTATCCTTCCCACGAACCCGTGGCCGTGGCCGTGCTCAAAAGCCACATTTTACACAAGACTGCGGAGATAAAACTGCTTATCTGACCGTCCCGGGTTCCCGATGGTTCTGTGTTCCCAAACCTAAGCTAGACTCTTACCGCACTGGGGATCAGTGCCCATCAGAGTGCAATAAAACTATCCATTACTCCGTGCACTCCTCCTGTTATACACAGTATCAAACCTGTAATAAGGGAAATCAGCGTTTATTGTTTGCCGTTATATCAGGAGATTATGAGGGAACGTTCGGAGGAGAGTTGTCCTCTTCACGCTTCAGCTCCCCCTCCTGCCCCACTAAGGGACAAGTAGCCTGCTGGTACCCTATAGCCCCTGTGGGAGTGTCTGACGGTGGAGGCCCTCAGGATACCCTTACTAAATTAAAAACACAAAAGGTACTCGAAACTGTATTTGAAAGCCTTTACCCTTCCCTCCAATACCACCCCCTGGCTAAAGTTCATTCCAGAGGAAATAAAGACTTGGATGTCAATACCATCGATATCCTTACCAACACCCATAAACTGCTTAATCTCTCTGCCCCAAACCTTGCAAGAGACTGCTGGCTCTGTTTACGCCAGGGACCCCCCCTTCCTCTTGCCATTTTTCTACCGCTTAATAATACCCTTGAGTTCAATAGTTTCTTGGGCCACCCCCCTATGCAGCCCTTTCCTGTTCTTCCTGTCCCAACGGAAAATATCACTTGCCTTTATAAACCTCCCAACAACAATCCCTTCGATATCGATGTAGGCCTTGCTCCTTTCTGTACAAATAATGTAACAGTAAACTACCCTCTTTATGCCCCTAATTCCACCGTTTTTGTATGTAGGGATAATTTAGCTTATACCATTTTACCAACAAATTGGACCGGTAATTGCATGCATGCTATACTTTTTCCTGATATAGAGATTATCAATGGAGATACCCCTGTTCCTATCCCCTCCCTTGATTATATTGCAGGGAGACAAAAACGAACTATTCAATTTATTCCTTTATTAGCCACATTGGGAATTTCCTCAGCTATGGTTACAGGATCCACAGGACTAGGAATTGCGGTCCACAAATATAGAGAATTGTCCCAACAACTTATTAATGAGGTGCAGACCCTATCCACCACCATTCAGGACCTTCAAGATCAAATTGATTCCCTAGCGGAAGTGGTTCTACAAAATCGTAGAGGCTTAGACTTGCTTACTGCTGAACGGGGAGGTATTTGCTTGGCTTTACAGGAAAAATGCTGTTTTTACGCTAACAAGTCCGGCATTGTTCGTGATAAAATCAAGACACTTCAAGAAGATCTGGAGCATCGTCGACGTGCCATGGCTGAAAATCCCTTTTGGACTGGATGGAATGGACTGCTTCCCTATTTGCTGCCACTTTTAGGCCCCATTGTTGGGTTGCTTGTTGTGCTATCTATAGGTCCTTGTCTCCTCAATAGGCTGATGACCTTTATCAGACAACAAGTAGATAATTTAGCAGCCAGACCAATTCAAATACATTACCAAAGTCTGGCCATGGAAGATCCCATGGAAAACGTTATCTCTCTCTCTGGCCGGTGAAGTCTGGCCAGTGAGGTCACGGTCCCTCCAACAACTGACTCTCCCCTTCGGTCTGCCGCTGCCCCAGTCGGGAGCCCAGGAAGGGCCCCAGGCCTATCAATAAAACGAGCAGTAAGCCAATGACGGGCACCTTCCCGGAACCTCACCCACCTAAGACAGGAGTCCTTGGGGACTGGCAAGGATATCCAATGACGGGTAAGAGGTGCTGGAGCTCCGGGTCGATTCCTAAGACAGGCACTGCTCGCTCATCATGGTTGGCCTAACCGGTAGCCATTTCTGTTTAATTGATAAGAAAGGGGGATATGTCGGGGACCACGCAGCATGTGACCTCTTAGTTGAGAGACAGGGCTGGACAGGCCAGACCTGATAGTACTGATAACGCAACCTTGTGTGACCTTGTGCCTTAAGGCCTTGTAACCTTTCCCCTACTTGCACTAGCATTGCAGCTACAAGATAAGCCCACCCTCCTTCCCCCTCCCGATACCCTGCCTCGATGATATATAAGTGTGTGGTTGAAAAATAAAGTCGCAGCTTGATCGGCACCTGTCTTGCTGCCATCTTTGTGTCTCCTGTCCCTTTCATTTCTCCTTCTAGGTGCTCGGCCCCAGTTGCTGTCCCGCGGGACGGGACACATGAGAAACCAGGAGAAGCACCTGGCTTCTGGTTTTGGATTGGTGCAGCACCGGCCATGGTGGCCATTTGGGGAGTGAACCAGCGAAGGGAAGACCTTTCTCCCTGTCTCTCTCTGTCTATAACTCTATCTATCAAATAAATAAAAAAAATTATATATTTAAAGTAAAACTAATACAAGTTTACAACAAAATATTTTGTTTGGGCAATGGGATCATGGGAGATTTTTCTTTGCTGTTTTCCTTTTCTGTATTTTCTATTTTTTTTTTTAAAGATTTATTTGAAAGGCGGGGGTGAGGGAGAGACAGAGAGATCTTCCATTCACTCCCCAAATGGCCAAAACAGCCTAGGTTGGGCCAGGCTGAAGCCAGGAGCCTGGAGTTTCATCTGGGTCTCTCTCATAGCCGCAGGGGCCCAAGCACTTGGACCATCTCTCACTGCTTTCCCAGGTACATTAACAGGGAGCTGGATCAGAAGTGGAGCTGCTGGGACTTGAATTGATGCCCATATGGGATGCCAGTGTTGCAGGCACAACATTGGGGCTTTGCCACCATGCCGAACCCTGCATTTTCTAATTTTTCTACAAGGGTTAGGGATTACATCCCTAATTAAAATAATTTGCTATCACTTATAGGTGATGTTGTAAATTTGAATTATCGTAGTAAGAAAATATTTAATTCAACCTCATAGGCTCTGGTTTTTGAAGAATGTTAGTTTCACTGTTGAATCTGCTTCTTACTAGCTGTGCCTGTTGGAGCAAGTTCCCTCACTTGACAACCCTCAGGGTTCTTATCAGTGCAAAGGCAATGGGGACACTTATCAACCAAGAGAGAAGGCTCATTGAACACAGCACAGCCCACACCCAGTAAGCATCGGTAAACACTCATTCTGATGATGCTGGTCTGAGGCTTCCCAGCGGCTGCCCAGCCCAGTCTGCTAGCCAGAGCTCCCGTGTGACACAGCGCTGAAGCTAGGGTTTGCTCTCAGTAAAACACTCACACCCAGAAGTGGAGTTTTAACTTTCACTGTGTGTGGAAAGCACATCTGCTTCCATTTACATCTTTCCAAGACACCACTCCAGTTCCAGTTTAGGCTTTTTTTCTCGATTGGCTCATTAGTCTCCCTGCTTATATGATAAGAATGACTTGACATATAACAGACAGAAAATGTTGATAGTCAGGGCCAAAAACCAAGAAATCCAATAACAAAGTAGGGTCTATTGTAATTGAGAAAGGACATCCACAAGAAAGCAGGTTGTTAAACAGTGTAAATAGCATGACTGCACGAACACACACACACACACACACACACACGGAGAAAATGCTCTCCAATTTAAAGGTCTCCCCTAGGTGGTATGATTACAGTTTTAGCACTTATTTTCTAGGATAATTTTTGAGTGATAATTCTAGTTTCTTTTGTAACTGGAAAAATATTATAAAGATTGGCAGGTAAGGAGTCACCTACTCCTTCCCCAAAGATTTGTTGTACAGTCCCGTGAACAGACAGGCGCAATGTCGGTTCTTGGTCTCCCTTACCTCTCTCTGTTGCTTGCAGTCTCTTGATGGCATCATTGAGCCTGTTTCGAAGGGCACTCTTCCTGGCCAAGGCTCCACCCACACGCCTGCTGGTGTCAGCCACTGCTTCCTCATTGCCTATGGGAAGAAGCAGACAAAAGTACCAGTGGAGCCAAGACACCTTGAAGAGGTCTTCATTTCAATAAGCAAAATTCAGATTTGTACCCTGGAGCCTGAAAGTGGCATTTAGAACAAGAGGTGCAAGATTGCAGGTATCTTAGAACACTGCTTGGGGGTGATCAGTATGCCATAATAGCTCAGGTCTTTGAAAATGACAGCATTGCTGTGACTCATTATATCTAGCAACACAACAGATAAGGAGCTGAAAAGAAGAGAAAATCTTCCATATATATGATGATGGTTGGATATTTATGTAAGAATAGTTGTTTTTTTATTTTTAATAAAATTTGAATTGATAGCTTACATCCAGGAAAGGGTACATGTCATAAATACATGGCTTGATGATTTTCACAGAGTGAACATCAAATAGAACTAGCATCCACCAAGATCATAAAATTGAATGCTATGAGCACCTGGGAAACTCCCTGGGGTCCCTTTCATTACCCTATGATGGCCACTATTCTGAATTCTATATCAGTTTGTTAATAGTTCCTGTTTTTAAACCTTATTCAAAGACATGATACAGTTCTGAAATTTTTGTATCGTTTCTTTTTTTGGACAGTTATAATTAAATTTTTATACCTTGTAGTTTATATCTTCTAGCTTTGTTTCTATTCTACAAGCTTATTTTGACTATTTCCCTCCTATTTCTATAGAAATTCCAGAATCATTCTGCACACACACATACACACACGCAAATACAGATTTATGGTATTTTAATTGGCGGCATATTGGATCTATAAATTTGAGAGAATTATCTTTTTTTTATAAATTTGAGTCTTCTCAATGATTACAGTATGTATTTATTCTTCATTAGTTCTAAATTCTTATTTAGACCTTATTTAATATTTTCAATACTGTATGGCAGTTTTATGAATAGAGATCTGAGCTTCCTTCATCAAATTTATTTCTAGGTTTTTGCTGCTATTGCAAATGATGTAATTTTTTTTTTTTTTGACAGGCAGAGTGGACAGTGAGAGAGAGAGAGACAGAGAGAAAGGTCTTCCTTTTGCCGTTGGTTCACCCTCCAATGGCCGCCGCGGCCGGCGCGCTGCGGCCAGTGCACCGCGCTGATCCGATGGCAGGAGCCAGGAGCCAGGTGCTTTTCCTGGTCTCCCATGGGGTGCAGGGCCCAAGCACCTGGGCCATCCTCCACTGCACTCCCTGGCCACAGCAGAGAGCTGGCCTGGAAGAGGGGCAACCGGGACAGAATCCGGCGCCCCAACCGGGACTAGAACCCGGTGTGCCGGCGCCGCTAGGTGGAGGATTAGCCTAGTGAGCCGCGGCGCCGGCCTCAAATGATGTAATTTTTAAGGATTCATTTATTTGAAAAGCAGAGTTAAAGAGAGAGAAAGAGAGAGAGAGAGAGAGAGAGAGAGTGAGAGAGAGAGTGAGAGCGAGCGAGCGATAGAGCCTATCCAACGGTTTACTCTGCAAAAGCCAACAACATTGGTCTGAGGCTTGGCTGGGGCTGAAGTCAGGAGCCAGGAACTCAATCCAGGTCTCCCATGTGGGTGGCAGGTACCCAACTACTTAAGCCATCACCTGCTATCTTCCTAAGGTTTTTATTGGCAGGAAGCTGGAATTGAGAGCCAGAGCTTGTCCTGGAACCCAGGCACTCTGAGATGGGCCGTGGGTGTCTTAACCGCTAGACCAAATGCCAGCTTCTGATTTGCTAATACTTCAAGATTTTTTGCACCTTTGTTTGTAAGAGAAATTGACTAATACTTGCACTTTTTTATATGTCCTTATTTAAGTTTTGCTGGCTTCACAGACTAAGTTGGAGAATATCACCTTTTTTTCTATTTTCTGTAGAATTTTATATAAAAGTGATGTTGTTTCTCCTTTTAATGTTTAAAAGAAATCACTGGGATGTTGAGATTTCTTTGTGGGAAGGGTTTAATTAATTGAATTTATTATATATCTTATCTGTACATATATGTATGTACAGTTCTAGCAGATTTTCTATTCTTTGCATGTCAGTTTGGATAGTCTTTTTCTTACAAAATATTGTTGAAGTGTGTTTATGGCACAGTCCCTAAACTGGGGTTATCTTTGAGTGAATCCCAAAATGTCACAGTGTCATATGCCATGATCTAAAGAAGCAACTAACTTTTCTTTATTTCTTTTTGTGTTTTGTTTACCTGCAAAACATCTGGAAATCTGTGAACTCCTGTCAGTTAGAACTGAGGGTGAAGCTGGATTATCTGGGGTCTGGCACTATGGTGCAGCAGGATAAGCTGCCTGCAGTCTGGCATCTGGTTTGAATCCTGGCTTCTCCACTTCCAATTCGGCTCTCTGCTAAGGCCTGGAAAAGGCAGCAGAAGATGGCCCAGATGCTTGGGCCTCTGCCACCCACGTGGGAGACCTGGAAGGAGCTCCTGGCTCCTGGCTTTGGGCCTGTGTTGCAGCCATTTGGAGAGTGAACTTAAGATTGACTCTTCATTTTTAGAGAGTAACTGAAGATCTTTCTCTCTCTATCTCTCCCTCTCTCTGTAACTCTGCCTTTCAGATAAATAAATAATTTTTTTAAAAAAATGATGGGCTATCTGACCTTGTCTGCCCTCTTGGGTTGTATGAACAGGTGCACATTTGTGCTTCTAGACAAAGAGCAGCACAGCTTCCTAATCTCTTATCATGCTCTTGACTTGCTTTCCAATAGGTTGTGAACAATACACTCCTATGTCCCACTTCCTCTTTTCCACCATGTAGTCTTGTGCTTGGTTTATCATTTAGAGATTATTTTCCCCTCCCATACATGGGTAGCATGGATGTAAAATAGGTAGTGTTTAGTTGATACAGTCACCAAGTACACTGTAACCGAGTATGACCTCTTCTTTTTTATTTCCTCTGGGTAGTGCAGAGAATTTCTCAGAATTCAAAGTGGACTAAACATACTTTTCAGTTCTAGTGTTCTATTGCATATTCTCTCTTTTTAGTTTCAATTTACAAATATTGTGATATAAAAAATTTTTCAGTTCTTCCTTTTGGGTCTTGTGAATGCAAAAGTATAGCCTAATACGCTGAGAAAGAATATATTTAACTCTCTAAATATATTTGGAGCTGTTGATGAAAATAGAAAGAAAATTTATTTGGGGCTGGATGTTTCTTTTTTTTTTTTTTTTTTTATTGGGCCAGGCGGAGTGGACAGTGAGAGAGAGAGACAGAGAGAGAAAGGTCTTCCTTTGCCGTTGGTTCACCCTCCAATGGCCGCCGCTGCAGCCGGCGCACCGCGCTGATCCTGGCAGGAGCCAGGAGCCAGGTGCTTTTCCTGGTCTCCCATGGGGTGCAGGGCCCAAGCACCTGGGCCATCCTCCACTGCACTCCCTGGCCATAGCAGAGAGCTGGCCTGGAAGAGGGGCAACCGGGACAGAATCCGGCGCCCCAACCGGGACTAGAACCCGGTGTGCCGGCGCCGCAAGGTGGAGGATTAGCCTATTGAGCCACGGCGCCGGCTGGGGCTGGATGTTTCTAAGAAGAAATTTTTCATAAAAAGTGAGTTTATTGTCTTATCTAAGCAGTTTTAATTTTACAAATTAATTCAGAAGAAGATCCTCTTAAATAGCAGCTTCCTGAGTTTATTATGGATTGTTAATTATTCAACATTAATAATGAAAGGCAGGAGTGCTGGGAAATAAAGATTATGGATCATGAAAGTCTTTTGAGAATGAAGGAACAATAATCTGAAATTACAATGTAACTCAGTAGATGATAATGGTTCGAGCCGAAAACCTGAACATTTACCACAAACCTGTATTATCAACTGGCCACAGTCCTATAAAGTTCTGAGCCACATAGTCTCAGCTCTCCATTGTGCCTTTTGTAAACAAATACAGGAAGAGATCTAACCAAAAAAAAAGGCTCTGAAATAGGTGACCAGGTCTGCAAAATATTCAAAAAGGCTAATGAAAGAGATTTATTGGTCATAAAATATGGAACTTTGAATATATGTCATTCTCAGAATAGAAAAGTTGCTTTCATGAGGTTCCATAACTCAATGCTGACAGGACTGAGAAAATACATGACAAATCTTCAAGGAAAATAAAATATTTAAGTCACTGCCTTATGAAGACTCATATATTTTGGTCTTCAACACAAGAAATGAATGCCATATGTGCATATGGCAGTGTTTATTTAAACATACTTTACTGCTAATATTCTAATTCTTTACTGCTAATTATTTTCCAAAAAGTATGTTCAGGACTAGATTTATATAATAAATTAATTAGAGTAGAGAAACTAAGCATTTTTATTGCCTTTATTTATCTAGAAAACATAAAATAACAGCTGCTTTGTGGTAATTAAATATTTCATATATGAACAAAGTGCTTTTATTTTCTCCATGTAGCGGCTCTTTGCCAAAGAACAGACAAAAATGCATGGTTGGATTGAGATTAATTGCTTTGATAAAATGAAGAGAAGTGTTCAGTTTCAAACTTGGCTTTTGTTTTTAATTTTTAGTTAGAAATTAGCCAGATAATGAATTTCCAACCTCATTAGTCATTGCTCCAGTATTCTTAGGAATGAGCTCAGTAATGTTTGCTGACATTCTTAGTCCACTGAAATGTGTTTAAAAGAAACACAGGGGATTTAAAATGGACTAAAGTCCACTTTTAGCTTTCCTTCCTTCTACTCTCAGATGTGCATGCCTTAGCAGATAAAAGCACTGGCATTTGGAAGTGATTCTTTCCATGTAGTTATGAGGTTTGTTCTAAATGCAGTTGGTTGGAGACCACAAAATACAACGAAGTGCACATAACAGATAGTATTGCAGTCTCCTGTTATCCTAAGCGATTTTTACAGTGATTTCCTAACCTAAATTGTAGAGGGCCTTCTGAATTGTTCAAGATTAAATTATGTGCCATGTAGTTTTAATGTTAAGTGCATGTTATGGCATGTGTCCTTGAAAATTGGTATTTATGGTATGTTTCTACTAATTAGCCCATTTTATTAGCAAGCATATCCATCATATGTTGGATAATTATGTTTCCACATAATTGTATTACATGGGAAGTTAAATTTGTAATCACAATTTATCTTAAAAGATTAAGTCTTTGCTATTTTACTACTTGGTCCTGAGAAGGAAATTCTGATGTACCATTCAGTTGTAATATTGTTTCTTCTTTCACCCCGGAATTTAAAAATCTCTGTCTGTATGTATGAAAGGAGAGAAACAGCTATAAATCAGAAGGAAGTTAGGAAAGTGAAAATATTTACTTGAATCTGCTATTGCTTGTAGTTCTCTGGCTTGACTGAGAAGGTTATCACTTTCATCTTTATGGTAAATTATTTGAGTATCAATCCCATTCACAGCCTGCAAAGGAATTGGGTAGAAAGCAAAAGAATGACAGAAGAAATCAGTTTTGTATGGCTTTAGGATTTAAATGCACAGTTTATCTGCTAAATGCAAAGCAAAATTCATACAACTTCGTTTTTATAGTTCAAAACCAAGGTCAAATGTGAACCTATGAAAAGAACGCCCTTGGTATTTTCAAGATAAATGTTAGTTCAGGAAAATTCAGTGAACCTGAAACAGTTGTCTTGCTAAGGCCCCCCAGAAGTGGCACTCAGTAAATCATTCTTGGTTGACAAAATCTGAATGTATGCATGAAGCATCTTCCTTAGCAGCAGGATCTAGTTTTAAATCTGTTTTCTCCAGGGACTTTGGCTTAAAAATCTGTCAAAGGAACTGGCATTTCTGAATTGAGCCCAGCATATCATGAAGACCTTGCAAACAGGAAAGCTTCACAGCATTAGTAAAATGATCTTTCTTAGTTCCCCTGTCCTTTCTGCTATTTTCGCCATTTGAATTTTACATTGGAAAGTCAAGAGATGATATAAAAAACAGAAAAGTCATCAAGTGGGAAGAGGCAGCATGCAGATATGAATGAACTTTAAAACAAGGAGGTACTTACATCATAAATTCGATCAGTGATGTTCAAAGCCAATTCTGCCGTTTCATTGGCTTCACTAACATAATTAGCAATGTTTTCATAGACATTTGATGCATCCAATGCTTTCTGTACCAGTCCATTCATATCTGAACTGTGCAAATTCCTGTTAATAAACAAACTTGCCTTTATTTTTCCATTTTACCTCCTTGGGAAATGGGGCATTTTTACAGCTTGATTTTTCTTTTAATTTGAAAGAGAGGGAGGAGAGAGAGAAAGACAGAGAGAGATGGGATTGGAGGAAGCTTGTTTCCATCCATTTGTCAACTCCCTAAATGTCCATAATGGCTGGGGTTGGACTGGGGCTGGAGCCAGTAGCTGAGAATTTAATCCAGGTCTCTTACATAGGTGGCAGGGACCCAACTACTTGAGCCATCACCTGCTGCCTCCTAGGGTGCACATTATCAGGATTGTAGCCAGGACTCAAACCCAGGTACTCAGTTATGGGATCTGGACATCTTAACCACTAGGCCAAATACCCATCTCAGAGCTTGATTTAAATACTTCCTGGATCAGAGATACTTCGTGCCTGTTATTCAAGGTCACCTGGATTGGCAAGGTTTTCCTGTGCTGCCTGTCCTAGGGACACATCTCTGCATTCCTCTGCCTTTGCCTACCCCAAGACTCCACCCCATGTTGACTCCATGGCAGGAATCAACAGAAGCCACAGGAAAAGGGAATAATGATTTAAAGCAGCCTTCTGTGCCTCTATGAGCAAGAATGTTTATATGGTGGAGGTCAGGCAGAGGAATGGACTTGTAGTTACTGCCACCTACTGCATACCTACATCAGCCTCATTATGCCCCCTCCATAAAAGAAGCTGAGGTTCAGAGAAAGGGTGCATGGTTTGCTGGGCACACATTATTCCTGACTGTCTTACTCTAGAGGCCTGGCTGTACCACTGAAGTCTACTGTCCTGGCTCAGTCCTCCCTCACCCCTGTCCTTATACATCAGGGTCTCTGACTTTGCCTTTCTGGCCTGCATAAGGTTCATTGAACATTTCCTGAAAACCCTCATGCAACTGGGCACTCTCACATGCAGAGGCTGCTAATAGCATGTGCCTATGAGGACTGATGTGCCATATAACCGGGATAAATATGTGGAATGCTTGGTTTACTACAATTGGCATCCAGTAAGCATCAGGGCTCAAAGGCAAGCCTTGTGGTGCTGCAGTTGGCTAAACCCCTGCTTGGGCTGCTTGCATCCATACTGGTGAGCTGATTTGAGTCCTGGCTACCCTGCTTCCAATCCAGCTTCCTGCTATTGTGCCTAGGAAGGCAGTGGATGATGGCCCAAGTGCTTGGGTCTTTGCCACCTTTGTTGGACACCTGGATGGAATCCCAGGATCTTGGCTTTGGACTTGTCCAGCTCTGACTACTGTGGGCATTTGGAGAGTGAGCCAGCAGATGGAGGATCTTTCTCTCTGTTTCTCTGTCTTCTTCTTCACTCTGCCTTTCAAATAAACAAACAAACAAAAATCTTTTTTTTTTTTAAATCAGGACTTAATTTTATACCTAAACACTTTCCTGAATTGGAATTTCAATTTGTACTAGTGTTCAGATAATTTTTATTAACAAATACATCTTCTGTGATATAAACTCTATCCCCACTTCTGCAGTTCATCCTAAACCCTGTGTTTTTATTTTATTAAATCTTAAATCCACCAGTTACTTATTTATATCTCAGTCCCTAACACTGAAGGCTAGAATTGCTTTATCCATAAGTCATATCTGGAAGGTTCTCTGTGACCCAGCACATGACACTGCAGAGGCCAGGCTGGCTGCTCTCTTCAAAGTACACGACCTATTGAGTCTGCTTACTTGTTTCTCAGCCTCCTCCATCCTTCCAGTCCCTGTATACTGTCTTAGGCTCTGAGCAACTTCCTCTGTATTTCCTCAGCTACTTTCCTCACTTTTGTCCAAGTCCATTAACCTTCCATCTCTTCTACAATAGGCTTGACTTTTCCATTATGCACAGTGGGGGGTCCGCAAAAAATATTTTCATTTTCACCTTTCTTAACCGGAAGAAAAAAATGAGGATAATAATAGTGATTACATCAGGGAAAATTAGATAAGAAAAAATCTAAAAAATGGGAACAAGGAAACAAATCACTACAAATATTTTTTAATGTTTTTAAATTTTGCCAACTAGAGTACTGAGATATAACAAAGACCTGAAACAAAATCCTGTATTTGCTTGTTTTTGTTACCAGGCACCAAACAGGTCTGACAGCAAGAAAAATGTGCTTTTGAAATGGAAACTTCTAGATGAATTATGTCTGTCTGTAAGCACAACATGCAAATGATTGTGCTCAGCAGGGAGATGCTAAAGAATATTTACATTTTGAAGGGAAAATGGAAACCAATTTGAATGCGCCCATGAATATGTTCAGCCAGAGGTATTCTAGACACACAGGTGACTTCAGGGCGGGTGATATTCCTGATCATGTGTCCTGTAAAGCACACAGAAACCTTCACAGACCAGGCTAGAACTCAGTCTATCGCAGAGCAGCATTTAGAGGATTGTTTTGGAACCCCCATCAAGGCGGGGGGGGGGGGTAGTTATTAAAAATGGAAAAAGCAAAAATAAAGAGCCATAGGAGGGATCTCAAAAGCAATATTCTACCAATTCAGCATTTCATCAAAGTGCCATTGTCCTGCCTCCATCAATGCACATTTCCTGGGTGTGACACTGAACTAAATAGAACACTACCTCACATATCAAGTTTTCATGTGTTATCTCCCCCTCCATCTCATCTCAGGAGATTTGGAAGGGTGTTTGAACATTTTGGTAATAAGGAATAGAAATGCAATTTATGCTTTGTAGATGAGATGATTTGTTCTTATTTTATTCTTGATCTTTACTGGTCCTTGTTTCTAACTGCCAAATCGGCAGTCTGTCTCTACAATGATCTCATTATTTGCCTGTTATTTCAGGGTCATGGATTCAATTCCAATCTTTCAGTACATTTCAATTAACATTAATTGAGTGACCAAAGGGTGCATGACTCCTCCAGATGCTGCGAGGAAAATTGTCAATTGATTTTCTCTTAACAGGTGTTGAAATCAAATAGTTCCTGCTGGGCACTGTGGAATGACTGGAGTATTTATCAGAAGTCAACTGTATTACTCCCAATCATTAAGCTTCCCTTAAGAAACCTGGGTGCAGAAAGCTAATGCTATCTGTGGAATAAATAGGTGGTGATACAATTAAACCTTATAAGAGTATCTGATTTATACAATATTTTAGGCAGCAATTGTGCTCCAAACCAAATTGCCTTAGGTCACCCTATTAATAACTGTGAAATAGAGCTTCCCTTTCCAGCTAGAACACAGACCCCTCTAATCTTAGATTTTTTTTTTAATTGAAAACTATCCTCTCCAAACAATTGCAATAAACAATGATTGACTCTTACAGGGAGCAACCAACAACCAAATCAAAACATAAACAAATAAGTCACAACCAAAGTGCTAATCCTTTATTTCAGAAACTCTGGAGAGGGGAATCGAATTACATACAATGTCTTATTCAGCCCATGCAGACATTTGCATTTTGAGCATTGTTATATTACCTGCTCAACTCATCAGCTTCTTGTTGCAGGTTCCGGGCATGGTCAATAGCTTCTTGCACTAAGTCATAACTGAGGTTACTTAGGTTGGATAGTTTTCTTTGTAGCTCGGTTTTGGCTCCATCTATTTCTGCATAAATCCCTGATGCATTCTAAGGAAAAATATTTAAAGAATTAAAGGGGGCAGCATTGTAGTATAACGGGTAAAGCTGCTGCCTGTGATGTAGGCTTTGCATATGGGCACTGATTTGAGGTTTGAGTCCTGGCTGCTCCACTTCTGACCCAGATCCCTGCTAATGGCCTGGGAAAAGCAGCAGAGGATGTCCCAAGTGCTTGGGCCCCTGCCACCCAGCAGGAGACCAAGATGAAGCTCCTGGTTCCTGGCCTGACCACAATGACCACCTGGGGAGTGAACCAGAGGATGGAAAATTCTCTCTCTCTCTCTATGCTTCTCCCTCTTTTCCTGTAACTCTGATTTTCAAAAATATATACATACATAAATAAATATTCTTTAAAAAGAATTAAATAAATTGAATTTAGAAGAACTTAAAAATATTTTTCCCTGAGAGCAGCAGTAAATTTCAGGCCAGGTCCACATAGGTTTAAAACACTATAAACAGACATTTATTTATTCATCCCACATCCTCCATGCCTTCTTATCTACTGATAGCTTCCCTAACATTCAGACAGGCTGTGACATTTCTGATCTAAAACCAAAATGAAACACTGTCCCCCCTCCCCCGCAGTGATCCGCACATGTCCCTGTTACTGTACAACTTTTCTATTCCCTTCCTAACAAAATCTCTTGGGGAGGAAAGCTGAAGGAAGTTCTCTCATTCGTTTCTAATCTTGCAGGGAAGCATGAGCAAAGCCACCATCTAGAAATGATGGCAGGAGAGGCAGGCTTCCCATCAGCTGTGTTTCACATCTTGGGTACAGCCGTGATGCTGAGGATACTTGTGCTTGTGGGCAGAGAGGGAGAGAATCCTCAGGTGGGCACAAGGAACAGGTGGGTATGGAAGTTGAAGGATATTTTCAAAGAATTATTATACTGATAACTTCCATGGCTTAAGGAGGGAAGAGAAGCTGTGAGCGGGGTAAAATACATGAGGTGGAAGAGGTCTTGATGTGGGCAGACTGCTGAAGTGGGCATTCCAGTGTGAGTGAGATGGGAGTTGGTGCTTGGGGAGGGAAATGCTGGGAGCTGGGCTATGGAGGAGGCAGCCATTGATGACAAGATCTGAGTGTGGCAACAGGTGGACCAACAGACGGAGGCTGAAGGAAACACTTGGGGAAGAGAAGCTCAGGAGCTGGGGGACAGGGATTGGTGAGCTCAGCCAAAAGGCTTTTAGCATCACCAAGGACAACAATGGAAGTTCCAGCAGAGAGGAAAAAAGGCAGCTTGCTGCTGAAACAGTTAAAGAATGAGGTGGCGATCAGATGACCTTAAACGGTGTCCTTTTAGAGGAAATAAAAATGGGTTGAGTAATTTCCTGAGCAGTTTGGGTCACTGCATTTTACTGGAAAGCTTTTACTTGGACATGTGTGGATTTTGCATGCCAGCTTTATTAAACACACAACATTACATGTAAGGAGTGAGTAGGATAGATATGGCTCCAGATCAGCACTTTCAATGGAACTTTCTGCAGTGTTGTCTGTGCTGTTGACCACAGTAGCCCTGCACCATATGTGGCTACTGAGGACTTGGAGTGTGGCTAATGCAACTGAAGAATGAAAATGTTAACCTTCTCTAATTGTAAGCAGCCATATGCAGCTATGAACCACCATGTGGTGCAAGAAGCTGAAAAATACAGTCCTCTGATCTTATTTTCATGATGCCTGTTAGCTTCTTTCTTTTGTGACACTGAGCAGCTGTTCAAACCTGCTATAAATACAAACCCAAGCAAGTCATTGTGTCTTACCTTTATTATATCATCGAGCTCCAAAAGAGTCAGACGAGGCGTCCTCAGAGAGTTCACAGATGCACTGAGAGACGTGTTCACCACCTCCACTTGTTCCCGCACTTTCTCATGCTGTTTCTGCAGGCAGGAAGAGCCAGAGGAAGAGGAAGAGAAAGCGTCTTCAGAGGAAGCAGCAGGGAGAGTGGTAAATGTCAACTTGCTGTCTTTGGGTTCCTATGGCAGTCCCATCACTTAATTGCTGTGTACCCTTGGAGAGCACCACCTGCCCAATGCATGGTCTTCTCATTAAATGTGGAGATTACAAATGCAAGCACCATAGGAGATCTGAAGCACTTATGATTGTTATCTTATTATGGTTGTTTTTTTATTAACATCAGTGTCTCAAAGGCAGCACACTATTTTTTTTCTCCCAGAAACCTTTAAGGTATACAGGCGTCACTTGTTTCATAAATACAACTTCAGGAACATGGTGATGATAGGTAGCACTTTAGAGAGGGCATTTGACCCTTTCCCCAGTAATGTATAGAGAGTCTATGGAGACAGGATTGAACCTGGGCTCTATATTTGCAGTAAGTGGGAATACATTAATTAAAGAGCATTTATCATGTGCGAACTTTGGGATCACTTGGACAAGAACAAACTATACACAAAATAATCTTACTGTCCTTTTAGGAATTAAAGTTGAGATCTTGTTTCATACTACTCTGAGCTCTTTATGTCAGAAGTTCTGACTTTCTGAAGTGTTCATACACTTTTTGATGAATGCCCCAATTTCTACCTTCACGTTAGGTCTAGAGGCAGGGATATTGTGCTGCTGAAGAAATATTGTAGGGCTTCAGATGAGTCCAGAATTTGAAAGTGATGCAGAATGGAATTTTAGGGGGAAAAGTCAAAGACTCATTTCACAATGTGAGTAAAAAATGAGTTCAAATTCCTTTAGAAACAGTAATTCAAGATAGAGTTTAGATATATGTTACAGTAAAACCTGTGATTTCATAGAAATAATTACGGAAGTCTAGATGTAGGAGGAAGTACTTTAAAACATTCCAAGTTCATCTTGGTGTCCTTTTTCACTCCCTGCAATCTTCCTGATTCAATGGAAAGTAAAAATGGAACCCATCTTCTCCAAACACATTGCCACAGGCTACAGACAGAAAAGAATGGCATTTGAATATCCACTTTTTAAAAAAAATATTTTCTTTATTTGAAAGGCAGAGTTGCAGAGAGAGAGAGAGAGAGAGAGGAGAGAGACAGACAGAGACAGAGACAGAGAGACACAGACAGAGAGAGATTCCATCTGCTGTTTCATTCCCCAGATGGCCACAACGGCCAGGGCTAGGCCAGGCCAAAGCCAGAAGCCTGGAACTTCACCCAAATCTCCCATGGGGTACAGGAGTACAGGGGCCCAAGTGCTTGGACCATTTTCTGCTCCTTTGTCAGGCACAAAAGCAGGGAGCTGGATCAGAAGTGGAGCAGCCGAGACTGGAGCCAGTGCTCGTATGGGATGCTGGCCTCACAGAAGCAGCTCTATCTGATGCGCCACAACACCAGCCCAGATAAAATACTCTTTAAAAAGCACTGCTTAGGATTCTCATAGCCAAAACTCTGCATTCTCAAGACTGTTTCTAAGTTTTTTTAGGGTAAGAAAACTTTTTATGTTTTTTGCATATGCAAAAGGAATTTTGAAACATACTGAAATAGTGCTCATCATATCATTTTCATAATTGTTAGCTTTTAAAACTTTCTTTTATCCAATCTGTCCATCTTTCTGTTGGAATATCTTGATGTGTTTTAAAGCTAATTGTATTTATTTCTGTCTAGAGCTGTATATGGTAAGTGGGGGAAACTAAATTGAAGCAATTAATTTCCCAACTACTACAGATAAACTTGCCATGCAGAGCTGTTAGCACGCAGCTTTGAAGCTGGGCTCCGACTGCAGGCAGAGTATGTGCAGTGTTCTTTTACAGCTACCCAAATACAAGAGCTTACAGAGGAGGACATTACTCAGACTCTGTAGAAGGGAAACAGCCCTGCAGAGTTAAATCATGGTAACCTTTTTTTTTTTTTTTTAACCTCCTTCCCTTTGCTTGCTTTAAGACACATACTTGGAGTGCCATGGTGTAGCAGGCAAAAGCTGCCACCTGCAGTGCTGGCATCCCATATGGGCATTGGTTCAAGTCCCAGCTGTTCCACTTCCGATCCAGCTCTCTGCTATGGCCTGGGAAAGCAGTAGAAGATGGCCCAAGTCCTTGGGCCCCTGCACCCATGTAGGAGACCTGGAGGAAACTCCTGGCTCCTGGCTTTGGACTGGTGTAGCTCCAGCCATTGTGGCCATTTGGGGAGTGAACCAGCAGGATGAATGAAAGACCTCTCTCTCTCTCTGCCTCTCCTTCTCTCACTGTAAGTCTGACTTTCAAATAAATCTTAAAAAAAAAAAAAAAAAGACAAGAGGCCAGTGCCGCGGCTCACTAGGCTAATCCTCCGCCTTGTGGCGCCAGCACACCGGGTTCTAGTCCCGGTCGGGGTGCCGGCTTCTGTCCCGGTCGCCCCTCTTCCAGGCCAGCTCTCTGCTGTGGCCAGGGAGTGCAGTGGAGGATGGCCCAAGTACTTGGGCCCTGCACCCCATGGGAGACCAGGAGAAGCACCTGGCTCCTGCCATCGGATCAGCGTGGTGCGCCGGCTGCAGCACGCTGGCTGTGGCGGCCATTGGAGGGTGAACCAATGGCAAAGGAAGACCTTTCTCTGTCTCTCTCTCTCACTGTCCACTCTGCCTGTCAAAAAAAAAAAAAAAAGACAAGAAAGTTTGTCACAAAATAAATAAAAAGATTTCATTAAAAAAATACAAATACTTTATACTATTGCTTTTCTATAGAGCTGTATAACCACCTGTCTTTGTGTAGAAAAGAATAATTGGCCCCAGAAAGTTTCAATATATTAGGCTTAATGTCCTTGCATCAGGAGGATGTTTAAGGGGCCAGTGTTGTGTCCTAGCAGGTTAAACTGTTGCCTGTGTCGCTCCCCGTCTTCGGGGAGGAGCAACACAGGACCCTGCGCTGTTCTTTCGTCTGCTCGGCCCTCCCCGGGTTTTCTGCTGGTTCTTCCCGGGTTGGCTACCATCCCTTCCACCTCCGTGGAAGGGCAGTTCCCCCTGGCCACATTCCCCACTTCCGCAGGGGAGCGGCACACCGCCGGCCGGCTTTCTCGGGGGCTGCACAGGTGTTCCTTCAGCTAGATGTTCCCCTTAGATGTTCCTGGTGCATGCCGTCTCTCTCCTCCTTTATAGTCCTCCTCCGCCAATCCCAACTCGGCTGCCCACACGCCGAGTACGCTGCTCTCCTCCAATCAGTAGCAAGTCCTACAGTTTATTGGTTGAACTGGAGGCAGCTGTGCGGAAGCTGTTTACTTCTCTCCCAGCGCCATATAGATGCATAGAATAAGTCCTAATTCCAGTAACAGTCTAGTCCGGTTTGCTCCCCACAGCCTGCAGCACCAGCATCTCATTTGGATGCTGGTTTGAGTTCCAGATGCTTCACTTCCCATCCAGTTCCCTGATAATGTGCCTGGAAAATCAGCAGAAGATGGCCCAAATCCTTGGGCCCCTGCATTCATGTAGGAGACCTGGAAGAAACTCCTGGCTCCCGGCTTTGGCCTGACCCAGCCCTGGCGGTTGTGGCCATCTGGGGAGTGAACCAGTGGATGGAAGATCTCTCTTTCTCTGTATCTGCCTTTCGAAATAAATAACTAGATCTTTTAAAAGAGTATTTTATGTGCTTTTAAAATAAATATATTCATCTGATAAATATTTTTATCATTACATTACTCTTTGGAATTAGGAGTAAGATGACAAAATAAATAATGTAATTATTAATTGTGTAGCTACTGTTTGAACATCACTTGATCTTAGCCAAAAGGTTGAGAAGTGATTAAATGCTTAATCTTTGTGTATAATTTGGGTTATGCATTAAGACTGAAATGTGGACCAATGCCGCGGCTCAATAGGCTAATCCTCCGCCTGTGGCGCCAGCACACCGGGTTCTAGTCCTGGTTGGGGCGCCAGATTCTGTCCCGGTTGCCCCTCTTCCAGGCCAGCTCTCTGCTATGCTCCGGGAGTGCAGTGGAGGATGGCCCAAGGCTTGGGCCCTGCACCTGCATGGGAGACCAGGAGAAGCACCTGGCTCCTGGCTTTGGATAAGCGCGATGCGCCAGCCGCAGCGCGCCGGCCACGGTGGCCATTGGAGGGTGAACCAATGGCAAAAGGAAGACCTTTCTCTCTCTCTCTCACTGTCCACTCTGACTCTCAAAAAATAAAAAAATAAAAATAAAAAAAAGACTGAAATGTGGGTGTTATTCTTTTCTAACCCATGCTGTAGGTCTAGTGGTGAAACATGAAATTGAAGCCCTCAAGTTTTCTTTCTAAACAGAGTTAAACTGCAATAAAGTCAGATCCACTCAAAACCACTTTGTTGTAGAAAAAACTACTACTTCTAGGAGTGGGATTTGTCCAGCCCACAGGCAATATAAGGCTTGCATAATCATTTGGTCTGGCCCTGCCAAGGCAACTGCAGGTAGGACTTGAAATTCAACACATCTACAGCAGGCTAATTTTTAAGTTGGCAATTTTGTGTGACCTGCAAATAATCTTATAAATATCCAAATGGCCCTTTTCAGAAAACAGTTTTCCCTACCCCTGGAAAGGAAGGGTTGGATTTGAAATTTCTTTGAAGAATCTCAAGCTCCATGACATGGAAATATGCAAAAGTACACAAAAGAATGCCTACAGTAGTGTTTCATAATTCAGAGGTCCAAGTTAATATAAAAATAATATAACCAAGAATATCCAACATACACAATCACTTCCATGGAACTTGAGGGTACTCTTTGCTTTTGTCTTTGCATCTGTTCATCATCAAGTGTAACAAACATAAGGCATTATGTTAGGTGCTAGGAAAATATAATTTGTGCAGGGCTTGAGTGCTGCCCTTTGGTTGCTTACAGTTGAGTAAATGCTTAGCATACACACACAGGATGCACAGTTTATTATTCAGGAATTAGTAATCCCTTATAGTTGGGAACACAGAACATATGATGAGGGGATGAGGGTGATGAAGCCAGATGGTCATTCCAGAGGTCCAGCTGATGGCTGTCCCAGTAAAAGAAGGAGAGACTCTTCCTGGTAGTCATGACTTGGGGTTAAGATGGACTATCCGACCTTGGCTATGAACTTGATATGTATCAACAACTGTGTGTTCCATACTTTAAACTGAAGTTTCAAAAGAGTATGATACTACAAAGGATCTCTGTGAATGAGATCCCAGTGGAAAGAAGGAGCCATCAAAGAAGGATGTACTTTTCTCTGAAGGGGGGAGAAAACTTCCACTTTGCTTATGGCTCTAAATACTGATGGAGTCTGTGGACTCAAGAGGCTTCCATAGCCTTGGCAGCTCATGACAAGAGCCTCGGGTGATCACTGCTGTCATAAATAAGGGTGTCAATTGTTAAATTAACAACAGGAGTCACTACACTTGCTCCCTATTTAGGACCTCTGTCCTGAATGAGTTGTACTATGAGGATTAACGGTAAAATTAGTCTTCAAACAGTACTTTATACTTTGTGTGTCTGTGTGGGTGCAAATTGTTGAAATCTTTATTTAGTAGATAGTTGATCTTCTGTATATAAAGATAATTAAGAGGCCGGTGCCGCGGCTCAATAGGCTAATCCTCCGCCTAGTGGCGCTGGCACACCGGGTTCTAGTCCCAGTCAGGGTGCCGGATTCTGTCCCGGTTGCCCCTCTTCCAGGCCAGCTCTCAGCTGTGGCCAGGGAGTGCAGTGGAGGATGGCCCAAGTGCTTGGGCCCTGCACCCCATGGGAGACCAGGAGAAGTACCTGGCTCCTGCCTTTGGATCAGCGCAGTACGCCATTGGAGGGTGAACCAATGGCAAAGGAAGACCTTTCTCTCTGTCTCTCTCTCTCACTGTCCACTCTGCCTGTCCAATAAAAAAAAATAATTAAGAATGAATCTTAATGAAGAATGGTATGAGAGAGGGAGTAGGAGGTGGGATGGTTTGGGGGTAGGAGGGCGAGCATTGGGAGAAGAACTGCTATATTCCAAAAGCTGTACCTATGAAATTTATATTTATTAAATAAAAGCTTTCTAAAAAATAAAGAGTATGATACTGTGGCAATGTAAGAATGATTGGCCTTCAGTAGGGGAGGAATTCTGCTGAGGGAGACACTTGGCTTACTGACTAGCCAGAATGAAACACAGATTACAGGGAAGAGCCAGGACACGCGATGAGCAGAGGAAACAGGCAGAAAACCTGTGGCCTTGGGAGGGATAAAAGCAGCCTGGACAGAAATGGAAAGATGTAGGAAGGAGAGCTGGAGGAAATGAGTTGATTTTTAGCAGAGAGTAGCAGGCCACAGTCACGTGTCCATTCCTGCAGACAGATGCTAGCATGAATGTTGCACCATGGGCTCAGATAGGGATCAGGGTGAAGACCCATAAATCAAGAGCTGAGGTGGAGAGACAGAGTGAAGTCACCGAGGGAGGAGAGGAAGACAAAAGGGGCAGAGCTTTGGCTGATGCCAACTACAAAGGTTGGGAAGGGAAGGAGAATGCAGACTGAGAGGGACTTTAAAACTCCTCAACTCTGTGCTGTTCTCTAGGATCTTGTTCTCCCATTGGAAATAGTGGAAGAGTCAGTTAAGCTAAAATGAGACCCACCATATATTGGAATCACCAAAATGCCAAATTCCTGGTATCCACATGCATGAAGTTTTAAAATTGTGCATAAGAAAAGTTTAATTACCAGGTTAGCATTGTGGCTCAGCAGGTTAAACTGCCATCTGCAATGCTGCCATCCCATACGAGAATGATGGTTCCAGGCCTGGTTGCTTGGTTCCAATCCAGCTTCCTGCTAATGGGCCTAGGAAAGCAGCATAGGATGGCCCACGCTGCCGCCCATATGGGAGATCAGGATGGAGTTCCTGGCTCCTGGCTTCAGCTTGGCCCGGACCTGGCTATTGTGGCCATTTGTGTGAGTGAACCAGCAAATTAAAGATATTCTCTCTCTCTCTCTCTCTCTTTCTCTCTCTCTCTCTCTCTTTCTCTCTCTTTGCCCCCCATCTGCCTTTCAAATAAATAGTCTCATAAAATGATAAAACTTTAATTTAAAGCTATTTAGGCATTTATTCACTTTTAGAACTCAAGTCTTTTTATGTGGGTGACACTGTCCACTCACTCACTGCTTTTTGCATTTACAAAGTTCACTGTGCTTTGACTCAGACTCTGACATTTACCAACCATTAGCAAAGCTGCTGGTCTCTGTCTATGTAGATTGTTTGTTTTTTGATTGTGCATTGCCCTTCCTTTTTGCAGACTTGTCAAAGCACTTATAACTAAAGATCCAGTCCTAAAAATCCATCATTAAAGAAGCCAACATGTTAACATGCAATATACTGCGAGTGTTCCTAACACAGGTCTAAGTGGAAGACAAAGCACTTTGTTAAGACTCACAACTCACAGGCTCAAATGAGAGCCACGAGTTTGCTACAACTGGTACTCATTTTTCTCTGCAGTGAAATCTTATTGCTTGAGGCTAGGGGGACAGCTCTGGTCGGGCTGGGGTTGCCCCTGAGCCATAGCTGGCCCTCGTTCTATTGGAATTGCTTTGGGTTGATAGGTTTTCTTCTCCATTGAGGGTCCTCAGTACTGAAGATGGCCCTGGGTCTTCACTTGTGAACCCCTAGAATTGTAGAAGGTTGCAGTGTTGTTTCTCTCTTACTTAAATGTTCTGAATCCTCTCTTGGGAATAGAACAGTGTCACCCTACAAACAGTGTGGTTTTCAATATCTCACAATGGGAAGAATCACTTCCTGCTTGGAGTTGAAAATAGATCTTCCATAACTTTGGGTGCAGCCTGCAAAGCTACAGGGTCTCATAACTGGAAGATCCTTGAAGACGTTCAGTAAATCAACAAATGTTCACGGAATCGCTCCTTTGTGCCAGACACTGAACTAAATGCCTGTGAACTCGATGAAGAACACCTGATTCCCTGACATCTTGGAGCCCCTGCTGTAGGGGAGAAGACGAATGCATTAGCAGGTGGTTCCAATATAGAACCAGAGCTGTGCACGAAGCATTATGGGGTGGAGGATTGCAGGTAGTGTGATGTTGTCTGAACTGAATGTGTGACTCAAGGAAAGGCAAGAAGTGAGGCTGAGGGGCCTGACAGGTGCAGATCAACAGGGCCCCACATGCCACATGAAAGATTGTCTTATAGGGCACTGTTTCTCAAGTGTTGTTAACCATGACTCAGAAGACATGTGTTATATGTTACAACCCATGACACATACATGACAGAAAGATGATGAGACCATACCTTACTAGCACTCTGACAGTTCTATTCTATTTCATTTTATTTTTAAAGAAACACTGGCATGAACCATTCAAACTTATTTCATAATCCCTTGTTATAAAATGGTTCACAAGCCATAGTGTCAAAACCACTGCTATAGGTGGTAAAGAGGAAATGAGGGTTTTGGGAGGGCAAGCCATCCTTATGATGTAGATGAGGGCTGCAAGGACTGGAAGAGAGCAGGAATGGAGGAGAGAGAGGAGGAGGATGCTTTGGTTGAGAAATGATGAAGGTCAGAGCCAGAGAATTTGAGGAATGTAAAAGATGAGAGAGAGCCAAAAACAACACTAAGATGATAAACTTGTGATGATCCTGCAGTTGGCTGGATGTGTGGAAAGGGAAGGATTCAAAGGCAAGGTGAGTCTCAGTGACTTCTGAAACAAGATTTGGTGTTATACCTCTACTGCGTAAGATAATCAAGCATCGGGTCGACAAAGACTGCTCTCTCGATCAGTGGAATTCTAAAGAGTATCACCTAAGCGTTTACTCCTACTCGAAATGCATGGTGCTAAGTATAACTCATTTTTATGTAAGAAATTTTATGATGACTCTTACTGAGG